TTGTTTCAGCAGTGACATCAGGATCTTCATATGATACCTCATCTTGGCCACACAAAATAATGAAAAATAATAAATCATTGGTTGCTTTGAAAGTCTTTGCTAAACTATCTTTTAGTGAGATCAGAGACAATATCTATCCCACATAAACCTGAAAAGTTCAAGCAGTAATAGTGGTTGCTGTGGTATATTTTTTCCTGTATCCTTTGTTCTATACATACCACCCTTCCCTCTGATAACCATTAAGTTTCAAAAGTTGGAATCATTAACTAGGTTAAAGACTGCATAGTAAATAAACAACGCTAGAAATAAAAAGAAATATCAACATCTGAATCAGCTTCTCTCAGTGCATGTGTTTATGTTGAAGACTCTCTATACACAGATTTCCTCTTGGCTGTGTAGAAAAATCATAAAATGTATTACTTGTCCTCGATCCCCTGTAAGGCTTGGAGCAAGACAAGATGGAACTGGAACTCATAGGGACAATTTTTATCTTTCATCTGCTTTCAGAGCTAAGGAGAGACAGTTAAATCAACAGGATACTCTTTGTCTTTCTGAAATTATGACAGAGGTATGACAAAAACATAAACAGGCCTAGAAGCTCAGAGTGCCTGATTATTTGTTTGAAATAAAGTCATGTGTGACAATAGTGATGCCTGTCCTTCTGCAGTGCAATAGCTTTGTGTGGGAGCCGTTCAAAACCCCTCAGCATGGCAGGACATGGTCTGTGTCACCATTGTGACACTGAAGCTTTAGAGAGCAGCAAAAGGCACACTAAGATCATATACACACAACAATTTGGTAAGTATATATTAATGTGGAAAACTATACTACAAAAGTAACAATAACAGAATTACTGCCCTATTTTGACTTCTTCAAAGAAATAGGAATTTCAGGTATGTAAGGACCACTGAACTGGAGTGAAGCTGGTGATCAGCAGAGTAGTAGCTGTGAATAATTAAAAGGCTTAAACTTCATTGCCAGCCAGACAAAAGGTAATCACTGAAACTAGGATGGAGAAGGAGAAAGGAAAAATTTGGATGAAGCACAATTTAAAAAATAATTTCTGATCTGTACTTCTTAAAAAGCTAAAATACTAGGCAATTACAATTGAATATTTTTATTCTGTCAATTATTTTATTCTGGATATATTGCAGTGACAAATGTTCATCTCACTATCTTAAACAAGCTTTATTTTCTTTTTCTTTTTTTGCAGCAGAGTTGAAGAGCAAATAATCTGGACTGATTATATTTAGCAAGCCTTTAGAAAGAGCACCAATTTACTGTATTACAAAAAGAACATAACCAGCAGACCTATTATTCCTTGTAATAATTCTCTTGTATTTCTAGGAAAAGCTTGGCTGTCATTGTTGCAGATTAGTAGTATTCAAGCTTAGTAAAACAGCAAATTCCTGTGAAAACAGGGACTCAGCCTGCACAAGTCGCATTTTAAGCTTCAGTATTTTAGGTATTTTTAATTAAAAAAAAAAAAAAAGCCCACAAAAAAACAGAAGTCAAAGTAAATTGAAAGGTCCAGTAGGGTAATATAGAAATTCTTTTTGAGAAGACTCACCAATCTTAAAAAGAAATCAAGACCACTTTTCCATTACTTTTGCTTAGTACCTCCACGATTTCAAAAACTATTTTATTTTAAAGTTTGTAAAAGAAAAAAAATTGTTGGACTAAAACTTCACTTATCAAGTTTCATCTTAGAGGGAATTTTTATAGCTGAGTTATAAACCCTCCACACTTTAATGTTTATGATGAAATGCTGACAAATGTGATAATAAACACCAATCACAGGGCCGTAGTAGCTGATCAGAGAGTGAATTCAAAAGTTTGCAGTGCTATCATAATATTTTGTTCTGTTTCCAGCACTAGTTTGCTTAAATATCCTTTCAGGTTCAGCAGCTGTAAAACAAGATCAATCTAACTAGGGTTTACAAAATCATTTGATTATTTATCCTTCTCTTTGAAAGCTACAAAGTGTCTCTCAAATATGATTTCATTTAGTCTTATTTTTTTTGGTTTACATGTCTGAATACTAATTGTAACATGATAGCTTCAAGGGAACTCAAATTTCTACCAACAGTCGTTCTTGAGTGGCCAAAAAGAGCACAAACAAACCAGCCCCAGACCAGGGTCTAAAAATGGGTTATAGTCAAACAGTTCTAAGGCTTTAAAAAGCTCCTTATTATCTTTTCCCAGAAGTAATTGACAGTGTCAGTTTTTGTTGTTAATGTGGTGATAATGGCACTGCGCTTTGGGGAGATGAGGAGCTGGGCTCAGCCTTGGTGGCAGCAGGGATTCTGAGCCAGGGGAAGGCCTTTCCTCCAGTGGGTGAAATCCAAGCCTTGCTGAAGTTAGCAGCACTTCTGCACTCTGGTAGGGTTGGGGCTTCCCTGTCTTCCCAAGCCTGACAGGCTGTTGTACTGTACTGACTCCACAGATTAGAATGCAGCTATCTTGGATTGACACAAGGATTAGGGGAGAAAGGACCCCACAGTTTTGTTATTTCAGCGAGATGGGATTGTGCTCCAGCAAGAAGCTTGTCTGCAATGTTCCCATAATTGGTTTATATTCTTATCAGACTAAACTTCCAGGATTTTAACAAATCCAGAGGGGCTGAGGGATGGGTCAGTATGGCATCTTGTTGTTTCACTGAGCTCTTCAGGGGTGTAAGGACATGCTTTATTTTCAACACTGGCTCCTTGGAAAAAATTGCATTTAGACTGCTTTTTTAGTAAATCATCAGTTTTAGAAAAGCATCAAACAAACAAACAAACAATTCATCAGGTTCTAAAGTCATATAAATCAATGTGTGGCTCAGGGGCAGCTCAAAACACATCTTGGTATTTTTTCTGTGCTGTTTACATATTGTGTTCATTGGCTTATACCACAACTGCATTTTTAATTTCTAATGTTTTTATTATCAGTGACTCATATAAGAATGTTACTACTGTTGGTATTGCTGCAAAATTTCCAGTGACCCATTAGAAATCAGGATTCATAATGCAAGATCCATTTGTATTTTAAAATAAAATGTAACATAGCCTTTCTCTTTTTCTCTAGTCTCTAGCACAAATATGAAAAAAAAAAAGGTTCTTGAACAAATTCCAGTGTTTTGTTATTAAATCAAGAAGAGAAAACCAATAATTTTTGAATTATCTGTTACAGACATGTTTACATTATGAATCTCCTAACTTAAGACTCTATGTGCTACAGAGTTCTAATTTTATCCAATGATATGAGCAAGAAAAATTATGAAAAGTTATATAATCATACTGTGAGAGATCATAGAGAAATAGTGGTAAGAACTGAATATTAAATTGCATATTTCATTGTCCTAAAATAATTTTTCTTCTTCATTTTGCCTGAGATGATGGTAATTAAAATGAGGTTGGGTTGTGTGAACTATTGTTGATTTTAGAACATTGCTCATACGTAGTTCCTCCTCTCATTTTATTTTTAGAAAAAAAAAAAAAAAAAGAAAGAAAGAAAACAAACCCCAAAACAACACAAAACCATCTGAGGAGGTGAAACCCCCAGTTCCTAGAAAGGATCCAGCTGCGCTAACTATCCAACTGCCTCTTGGAAAAAAAAGCATTTTGACAAATGGAGAGCAGATGCAATGTGTGGAGTCAGAGAGGTCAACAAAAACAAGTAGAAAAAGAAACCAGGGAAACAAGTGAAAAGAGAAAGAATATTAGAGTATTAATACAGGATATTAGATCTCTCATGATAATATTAAAGTGAACAAAACGAGAAAAAGAAGAATAACAACAGAGGTGACAAAACACGAGAGAAGAAATAAGAGACATAGGATCTTAGGTATAGTAGCTTGAATCCAGGGTAAATATTGATTTTACTAATATCACGGTAATTTTATTTAAGGGCGATAAAAGCTGTCCTATGAAGCCACGCAGAAACGCGGCCCTGAATGGGCAGTTTAATACGGGCGGACTGGGCTCTGAGCAGGCTGGCTGCTGCCCGTCCGCTGCGAACGCGGGGACAAATCCAGGTATTTCCCAGCAGCAGCAAAGGAAGGAGCCAGCAGCAGAGAGAACCGCGGAGGGGAGCTGGAAGGAAGGGCAGGGGCACAGCAAGATGGGTCGGAGGGGGTTCTAGGGGAGACCCTGGGCCCCACTCCCAGCCCAGTCACTCCCAGCCCACCTCCCTTCACTGCCGCTCTCCCGGCGGCTCGTCCCTTTTCAGAGATGCCTGCGAAGGCAGCAGTAGGTAACGCTAGATAGAGATCTCCGGGGTGGACCCTATCCCCATCCCCGGGTTGTGCTTCCCCCTTTCCTCCCGCTCCGGCTTTTCAGAATGTATTTAATTATTTTTATTCCCATGGAACGTGGCGTGCATGTGTGCGTTTGTAAAGGAATGTGCCGTGAGAGAGAAAACGTCTCCGCTTGACGTCTCCAAAACCAAAGCCCACAAACTCACAAGTTTTCTCTCCCAGGAGGGCGCAGACGGCTTCCCAGGCAGCCCCGCCGGTGCCGGGAAGGCTGCGGGGCATCCCGGACAGACGCGCCTCGCCCCGCCGGGCCGGGCCTGGCCGGGCCGGGCCAACTCCCGCCCGGTGCGAGCGACGGCGCTGGCCGCCCGCACGCAAGGACAGAGCCGTTCCCGGGAAGAAAATCGTGACAACAAGCGGTTGTAGCCAGATGTTCGGCTTCCCTGGCCCCGTGACACATGGCGTGGACTTGGCAGACTGGATTTTAAAGAAAAGGGAGTTGTTGTTTATTTTTTAAAAGGCAGAAAGCGCTGGGTTAAAATGCACAGGCCGAGATTTCCCTGGCAGGCAGCTGGGCAGGAACCGAACCCGCTGGAAACCCGTTCCGCACGTTGGAAGGGCTCCACTGCCCCGGCCCAGTCTTTCTCCAAAGCAACAATTTGGAAAGGTATTAGAGCAGGCAGGCAACATAACACAAACCAAGGAGCCTCCAAATTTCATTCACCGCCCCGCCCCTCCCCAACCCCGCTCCGTTTACAAAAATTATAAATATTAACAAATCTGCAACACACTGAGCCTCTCCATCCATCTTCTCCCCAACTGCTCCCGACCTCAGCCCACACTTCTGCAAACACTCCCGGTTTTGCATCCCACACCTGCACGGTCCTGGCTGCAGTGTGAGAAGCCGAGGCAGGAGCCATGGACGGATCTGTTTCCCCAAGAGGGAAGTGCCGAGGCCACCTGCCCGCTGCCGTGGGTGATGCCCGGCCCCAGCCGCGTCTCGCCGGGCCCGGGCGCTCTCTAGCTCGCTTCCTGTCTGCTACATCCGTCCAGGAGCTCAGTCATGAAGGAGATGTACACTATAGCCAGACGCAAGGTCTCTATCCGAGAGAGCCTCTTCTCGTAGGCAAAGGTGGGCACCTTCTTCCTGAGCTGATCAAACGCCTCGTTGAGGTTGAACATCCTCTTCCTCTCCCGTATGTTGGCAGCCTGGCGCTGGGCGTAGGTGATGACCCGTTTTCTCCTAGGTCTGTCCAGGAGGGAAGCGCAGCGCATCCTTTCCTCTTCCTCCTCTTCTTCGTCTTCGGGATCGCCGTTTCCGAAAGCAGCCAGAGGCAAGCCCCGGGCCATCCCTTCCCGAAGCGACAGGACTCTGTCCCGGAAGGGAGGCCTGGTGGTGACCTCGCAGAGCCCCAGGCCTGCCTCGGCTCCGGGGGCTCCCTGGGGGTTGCCCAGGGAGAGGTCGGCCACGAAATCCAGCACCGAGGTGCCCAGCAGTCCCTCGGGGCAGGGCACTTGCGGGGCTCTGCCGTGCAGCTCATCCAGCAGCCCCGAGCGCTGGTGGGCTGGGAAAAGGCTGGCTGACATCTTACTTCAGAGAGGGCTTTTCTTGGTCCCCCATCCCCAGCCCTAGCGACGTTAATATTTATAACCCCCCGGATAACAGGATTAGCAGGACTAGAAAGAGCGGCTGTAAAATTTCTCGCCGTGATGCTGATGAGTGGAGACAGGCAATCCTCTCGGGGACGCGTGGATGCTCCCGAGAGAGGAGTCCCCAGCGAGTCAATCCTGTCACAGCGATCAAGGACAGTTCCTTCTGGGCAAAACCCTCCGCTCTTACCTGCTGGGCACTTTTGTCTCTTCTTATACACCCGCAACCAAACGATTTTCAGCCTCTTTAAAGCCCCCAGGAGCAGAGCCGGGGGGCACTGCTGGACTTGTTTTCCTCCTTTCTGTCGGGATCTCTGAACCCTGGGAGCCAGCCTGACAACTGATGTCAAGCAACTGCATGTATGCTTTTAATGATGTCCTGAAGAGGGGACCTGCATGCAGAGGGTCACCGGGGAATGTTTACCCTGTATCCCAGCGCAGTGGGAACTGAATGACAGGATCTCCATTAGCCTAAGTAAGCATTGTAGGGGACCCGATATTGCATTCCCTGTAGTAACTGTTGGAATCGTCTCTTCATTCCCCCTAAATCCCCTTCAATCAGAGTTCAAATATCTTTCCAGTAAAACGCTGCTTCGTAAATCTCATTTCGGTTCAGTCAACCTCATAGCACTTGTTTTGAAACCCCTTCCTCCTGCCCGTGAGAAGAGGATAAGCTGGTCCTGCCAGGGCAGCGGTTACACCTCTGGCAGAGCCATCCCGGTCATCAGCAGAGCACAAAGGAATCAACTTGAGCGCACGCACTGAAAACGCTGGATACATGCCGCAAAATACCGTGAAATGCTCATAAATACACCCACCCACCCACCCGACACCGCTGAATACCTTTCTTTGATCAAGGTTTCCTTGAGGACAGACGCTGAGGATTGTTTTCTTTTGTCTTGGGAGACTGGAAGAGGGGCTGTGTCTTCACCCCCCTGCACCATAGACTCTCGCTAAATAAACAGCCCGGCCCTGGCAATCCCTGGCACGTCAGATACATTGAGGTCGAATCCGATCGATTTTCTTTGGCACACGATTTTTAGACACAGCTCTCTCAGGAGTGACTGCTCACCACTCCTGAGATGCCTTCTTAAAACCTAATCTTCTCCTTTGTCATGCATTGTTGTCACTCTCGCTTAGAGGCTAATTAGCCTCTAATTTCTAAGGGGATTTCAAAACCGATGAGATCAAAGGAGGCGGATGGGGGCGGCCGAAGGATCCCTCTCCTCGAAAATACTTCCTGTTTGCCTACAGGACCGCAAACATTTCCCGCCGCGTACCGGGATTTGCCGTCATTGACAACTCAGCGAGCGAACCGCGCATCCCTTTCCTGGGAAAGGCGCGGGAGGAATTCTCTGTCTGTGCGCCCTGCCCCGGCGCGGGCCGCGGAAGGTGCGCGGGAGCTCAGGTACGCTGGACAGCTCCGGAGAGGGGCGGCCGGGCCCCGCGGCCGGGCCAGCACCGCGGGTACCGGAGGGGGACATCGCCACCACCTCTCCCAGGGGACAGCCAACCTCTGCCCATCCTGCGGCGCCGGCCAGTGATAGGCGGCACCGCGGTGCTTCAACAGCCTGCCTAAGGCTGGGAAAATAGCGAAAAACAGCGGGACTGCCTTTATTCTTGCTAGCGCTAAGAGGCTTCTTAGCAGACAAGGAGAGTGCCGCTCAGAGACTTGCTTATTTGTAACTACAGAACACCTGGTGAATGAAGCAATGAGGCAAGGAGGAGCTGTAAAACATCTGTTAGGAGAGGTGCTGCTTAGAGAGGACCCAAAAGTAAGTTGGAAAGATGTAAATGTTTAGTGTTATATAAAAAACACTCGGTGGAAGAAATATCAGATATATATTTATGACTGACCCACAAAGGACCATGACTTATTTGGGCTCCTTTTAGTTGAGGTGACAAGTATTTTATTTAAAGACACAGAGGTATAAATGAAGGACAAATGCCAGGAAAGGCATGTCACTACAGAACTCAGAATTATTGTGGAAATACAACTCCTTCAGATAGTGAAATAAAAGAATGGAAAAATATTAACTCATCACCTCTATGTCAAAATTCACATGATTTTACTGTCCTGTAGGCAACTGGCATTTAGTAGAGGACAGACCTGCCCTTCAGCAAGGTATCTTCAGAGAGAAGCTCTCTAATTGCAGATTTTTGCAGGACACAAGCTACAAAGACAGAACTGGAAGAGGTTTATATTGCAAGAACATAGAGGGACAAGCTTTTCTAGCTAATATTGCATCACAAAGTAATATAACGTAAGCCATAAAAATATTAATGTTTCTTAAGACAAGCAATAAAGACAGAACTAAGTCAGGACTGGGAGGTCCTAGCAGAAAATGAGGACTTGTTACCAAAGTGAATCCTCTTGTAAAGCTGTTTTTTTCCCCTGCTTTTTATTCTTTTCTATTCTTCCTTATTTTTTGCTAAAATATTGTTTTTTCTCTGATATTAAATATTTTAGATTATATAGAATAAACTCAATGAACTGTGGTATGACTAATATGTGGCACTTTTTTTATTTGGTGATTTTTTTGTCACTTTGGGGAAAGTATGGAGCTGAGGCAATGTATAATGAATACCCAGTGCTGCAAGATGCAGATTTTCAGTGCCTAGACGAAGCAGGAATGTCAGAGAAGCAGAATTAACTCTCATAAGAGGCTGCTTTGTTACTCCAAAATTGTCTCAGACCATATTAGGTGATCCAAAGTGCTTTCTAGATTTGTTTTAAATATGAATGTAGTTTGTTTTATAACTCCTACCTTCCTTCGGCCCTCCCTTATCCCAACTTTTCATTTCACTTGTTTATCAATTAAAAATTTGCTCACAAGGTGCTTAGAGATGCTAGGAACTGATGGCTACAATTTCAAACCACTGTGCAGCTATTTCCAAAATTATTCTTCAGAAATATCTATAAAATTATTCTTGGTGCTCATGTAGGGTTTGTGTTTAAAACTCAAACCACAACAACTTTTCTGACCTATTAGCCCTATCAGAAAAGTATATATATCCTTTTTTGCCCAACCCTTCTATCACACCTCATGTGATAATTTTCCACAATAACACAAAATGTATAACAAAATGTATAAAATGTGTTAAATGGTCAGTACTTTTTTTAGTGCCTTAACAACAAAACCAGAAAGGAGGAGGCTGATGAAGTCAAGGTCAAAGCTAACACAGGTCAGAGGAATCAATGCTTTGCTGGCTGAAACTGCTGGGAAAACCTTTGGTACACTGGAGACACGTGAAGTATATGGAGGTGAGGACAAAGTTACCTCAGCCTGACTTCCCCAGACCTCATTTGCAGAAAGAATTGGTCGACTCCATCAGTTAAGGAAAATAATATGGATAGTAGAAATAGGCTGGTATTACCTAACTGCTGGATTTTATCCAAGCAACAATGTATCATAGGGACATTCTGATTCCCACAGAAACAGGAGCACTCAGAGTGAACATCGTGGTCCACTTCAACTCCTGATGGACTGTGAGAAGCTTGGAGATTCCAACTTCAGTTCTCTAGGATGAGCCTTAGCTCTAGAATTAGCAATGTAGGAATAAAGACTAAAATAAATCCAGTAAGATGTATATCCAGAGTATGCAGGCAAACACAACTGGGTGTATTTGGTGCAGTCACTACTAGAGTTTGAGTCTGTAAGAATTCTCTGCAATTTTTCTTTCTAAATAGTTTATCTGCATAGACAGTTTAAGAATTAACTTTATTCCTTAGGCTGATGATATATGTATGAAATCTCTGCTCAAAAAGCAGGTGAATTCCAGCTTACTAGTTCAGCAGAGGGACTACTTCTGTTCTGAAAACCAGAATAAATTCAGTGAGCCAAAACTTTACAGTCTGATCCTATCAGTAATTTCAGGCACTGATCCTACTTGCATCTGACTGTATTAATGCATTCCTGTGTCACAGCCTGCCATTAACAGGACTCCAATTTGAATACAAGCACCTACTTACAAAGATCAGGTTTCACAACTTGGCTCTCTCAGACAAAAATGTGACATTCAGTAACATCATTATTCCCTGACACAGGAAATCATTAGGAAAAATCAATATTTTGGGCAAAATCTAATAAAACTAGGTTCTGCCAGTAAAGGGCAGTTCATTTTTATTTACAGTGGTATTACATACCATTTGAAGAGTTTAAAGAAGCAACTGTTGATATTTCCCCATACGGGACCAAATGATGAAGAAAAAGTTTGAAACTGTAATCTTGGGTAAATCATAGACAAATGAAATGAGCAGCTGTGGTTAGGGTGGGATGGGATTCATCATGCTTGCAAAGTTTTATGAATGATCTTTTTTCCTTAATCATATCCTTAGGGGTGGGAGGGATTGAGAACAGGGTGTGCATTAAGGTTGGAATGTCAAACTTGACTTTGAATTTCCTGGCTTTTTATCAGCATGCATGAAAAAGTGTAATGCTATTCAAACATAGCTTCTTTAATCTTGATTTTGTTATATAAATATTTTTTGTTCAAACGGAATGCAATAAAATATGTATTCTTTACCTAGAACTCTAGATTTTTCCAAAATCTTATTACAATTTTTAAATTTTATTGTTATTTAATTATGTACTAGGAGCATAAATTAATGCTTTATTCTCTTCCACTTCTCACAGTTTGTAAAATGCAGGGAATTGTCAGTCTTAAAGCTATTTTTATGAGAAGATCTTGGTTATATATCAACAGAATAAATGTATGTTTGATGGAGGACCAAGATTTATCCTTTTTCAATTTTTTCTATTTTTTCTGTAGTTTATAGTGTTTGTTTATAGTCTACAGGTGTATCTTCTGCAACTAGCAAGGAGACTGAACTAAAAGTCATCTACAGAAAACAGGTCTTCTTTGCCAAGCTTCTTAGCCATCCATTACCTTCCTAGATTCCAGCTATGGTATTCTCCTAAGGGTATGTAATTTCTTCTCTTCACAGTCCCTCTTAACAGTTCTTA